GCTCATCCAGTTTTGGGAAGCCCACATGTTCTCCTGACATAGTGCCTCTATTTCTCCACCTGTCGACTGTGAATGGCAGCCCCTCTCTGCCTTACTAAACCCAAGGTGGTTAACAACGGAACTGTATGTGGGGGAGACAGCTCAGATTGGCATGGGCTTGGGCTGGAGGAGATGATACAAGTAGTTCTGCACCCAGAAAGGATGAGGCTCAGCTACTGCACTCTGGCACTGCCTCTCCCGACCGCAGCACCCTCCCTCAGGACTAAGGGCAAGCCTCCTCCCTTCACTTCCCCAGGTGTGTCTGTTCTGTTGTGGCTCCTATGATTCCACATGGATCAGCACATATAGTGGTGACATTTAGAGGGCATGGAGCAGTGCCACGAAGCAGGGCACCAGATGAGTGCCCAGAGGGACCCTAAATCAGTCATATCTGAGTTACCTAGAAAGTTAAAAAAAAAATTACAGGTGTCTAGGCTCAACCCGAGACCTGCTTGAGGCAGAAGTTACTGATGTCTGTATTTGCAACAAGTTCTATGAGATTCTATAGCTGCTGACTGCCTGGAAGTCATTTGGACAGTCCTTAATCCTCAAGCTTCCTGTCCTCCCAAATACTCCATCAACTTTGCTCTGGTCCAGGTGGGCTACATTTCAGAAGAAAGTATTTGATTTGTTCACTTGCCTGCTCTGCACAGTTGTGCCTACAGTGGAATGAAGACTTGAAGAGCAGGGTTCCTCCAGGAGAGGGCAGCAATGCCCCCCTGCAGCAGGACCCAGCCCTTCAGGCTGGTCCAGGAGGATTGCTGACCAATAAGTCGGCAGAGGTTTATGTTTTGTTTTGTTTACGTTTTATATACTTTTCTGTGTGCATGTGTATGAGTATGTATGTGCTACAGTGCATGTCTAGAAGACAGAGAAGAAATTATGGGAGTCAGTTCTCTTTTTCCAACATGTAGGTCCTAGGGGTCTAGCTCATTCTGTCAGGCTTGGTGGCAAGTGCTTTTACCCACTGAGCCATCTTGCCAGCCCAAATCGGGATTTTAGCAACACTAGTGCACCCTTCCAAGTACTGCTTAAGAGACAGTGTTGTACAGGACTATCCTCTGAGCCAAACCACAGCCATCTTTTGCACCAAGTCACAAAAGATCATCACAACTGGTCTTGCTGACTGTTGGTGCTCCCTCACCGAAAGGGGGTGGGAGTCATGGGACCCTGAGTACCCAGCCACTGTTTCCGACCAGTTGTGTGCAACTGTGTATTAGTTGCAGGTGGCTCTAGTGTCTCTGGGGTGTTAGAGTATACAGGTGGGGAAAGACTAGGGGAGGGGCAACTTCTATGGAACCATGAGGAATCCGTCATCCATGCTGGGCACAGACCTTCCAGTTCTGCTTTAAGGTCACCCATGCTCCTGCTTATAACCACTTACTCATGTTCTGTAAGTAATCATAAAAATCTCATTGGTTCTCCAGGGTCATTGAGACTTTATAAGGAAGAGGGAGAACACTTTCTAACCCTCAGCCCAGGGCAGAAATTCGCCAAACAGGGACTGGTTCCTTGTTTCATGGACCCTCAGTATTCCCCACCTTCAGCAGGCCCCCATTTTCAATGCAAGGACAAAGATAGGGAGAGTATGAGTGAGTGAGTGGAACAAAGCCCTCTAACTTACTGCTGTATTCACAAATAGTAATCTCTGGCAGGGGCACATCCATCTCTCCATCACACCTACTGATCCATCCATCTACCCATCCACTTGATAGACAGTCTCAGGTACTGGCAAGGAAATAGGAAAGGGCCAACTAGAGAGCAGCGACTGACAGGTCAGCAGGACATTACAAACAGCATGGTGTATAGAAGATGCCTTGGAAAGCAGACGCTGTTGAACGCAGACGATGCCCTTAACCCTGTGCGAGGAGCCTACAAAATCAAGTAGCTAGGAGGCACAGTTTGCAGAGTGTAAACCCTCCAGCCTGCTGCAGCCCAGACCGCTTCATACCTGAATGAATTGCTCAAACTTATGGATATGGGCTTTCAGCTGCTCTTCTTTGACACCTAGTTCCTCCCAGCGCAGGTTCAGAGTTTCCATTCTTCTCTGGAATGTCTTTGGGGGAAATGAGAGAAGGTATAAATCAGGGAGCCCCCTGACACGGGTGCTCAGAAAGATTCTGAGTGTTTTATCCTTTGGCCCAGAAGTACCTGAAAGCTGAGGAAGTAGCTCAGTGGTATAGCATTTGCCTAATAGATCCAATCCCAACACCTCAAACAAAACATAGTTACAGAAGGGCTTGCATTTTGCACCCCATCCTGCACTGGGTCCTTGTGTAGTGTCCCAGGACCCTGGTTTTCCTGAGATTCACACCCTTTCTGTACACCTTTTCCTCCTCAGCAGGAGGAAAGAGACCAGAACCACCAGCCAGAATTCCAGCTCTAGCCACCCCACCCACAAAACAGGGGACCACCATCCATTAACCTTGAGCCCCAGCCAATCCCTTCCCTATCCTGCACCCCTACCCTTATTGCCCCAACTCCCCACCTCACCTGCTTCTTGTGTTCCATGGCCTGGTGCATGATCTTGGCTTCTTTCTTCTTCTCCAGGAGCCGGATGGACGGAGATTCTGACTGCTCTTCAACATTTGGAAACTTCCTGCACAAGAAGTGTGAATAGGAGTCAGGCCTCCTGAGGCTGGAGCAGGCTGGGGTAGTGGGTAACTTGGGAGATAGATGCCCAATGAAAAAGAAAAGGGGTCTCTGCTCTCACTTTAGTGAAAGAAGCAGTGTGCTTAGGAGAGAGGCCTACACGGGCTTTCTGGAGGGAGCAAGGGATGGGGACCCGGTCTGGGTGGAGCTGGGTAGTGGGGTTAGGCAATTGGGAATACTGGGCTGTAGGAAAGAACAGGCAGTGCAGTGTCATGTGGGTATGGGTAGTCTCAAACTCAGAGGAGAGGCAGACGAACTCCCAAACACTCACTGCCGCAGCTGAAGCAGCCGCTCTCCATACTGCAACCGGAAGTATTCGGCCAGGTCCTCCTCTTCCATGATGCCCAAACTCATGGTGGCAGCTACCTAATAGCCCTTCCGGCCTTCTTTTCCGAGTGAAACGATGAGTAGCAAAGCCACAGGGTACTCAGGAGAGGTGGCTGTGTTCTTGCTCTCCTCTCCTCCCGCTCCTCTCCTGCCCCACAGAGAGCGGGATGTCCTAGAGACACAGCAGAAGTCCCCCAGAGACTTCCTTAGTATGATACGCTCTTGCGCTGATAGGAGATCTGGTTACCTAGCAACAAACTGTTCTGTGGACTGTAACTGGAACCCAGAGTTTGCCCTCTGACCTATGTCCCTACAATCCCCACTTTTGCTGAGGTCACCTCTGTTCCCACTTGCACCCTTCAGGAGCTCTGGGAAGAAGTTAGGCTTGGTTATATTTCTGTGGGCTCCGTTGCCAGGCAGGGAGGCAGGGAATGGTCATCCACAGCGGGGAGGGGGAAGTTTGTTAGGTGAGTCGGATATATGAGGCTGGTTCCTGCGGCTTCCTTCATAGATTTAGGGGCATGTGAGGGTGAAGGAGACACTGGGCAGCAGATGATGACAAAGAAGAAAAGCAGTAGAGAAGACAACGTACTTAGCCAAGCCCAGAGGGGGAGTGTGTGAGGTGGGCAGGAAAGTGTGGAGAGTGGGAAATTGAGACACATTAGAACCAAGTAGTGGGCCAAGGATATGTAGGTGGATACAGAGAGTGGCCACTGGGAATGTGGAAAAGGCTCCTTCGACATGAGAGTGAGTTTATTAAGTACAGATAAAATGCTCTTTTGAGATGTAAGTCGGGGCGGGGGCACCAAAATACAGTAACGGAAAGGCTCCCTTGTTTAGCCAGTTTATTTCATGATGACTGCCTTCCCCCATTCCACCTGGCACGTGCATAAATACTTATTTGACTTGAGGTTAAATCTGTGTAAGTTTGGGGCCCTGTGTGAGACAGAACCGTGGGGACCTCTGTGGGGAACCTCTGCACCACGCCCTGGTGCTCACCCTTCCCTACCTCCTCTCTGAGTCTCGCAGTTCAAGATGGGATTGGCTGGGATTTGATTGCTCTCACAGGAGCCAAGGACATAGCTTGTAAGCCATGTTGTGTGTCACCTGGGACAGAGCTTGCAAGCCATGTTGTATGTCACCTGGGACAGAGCTTGCAAGCCATGTTGTGGGTCATCTGGCATGCCCTGCCAGCTATTCTTTAAATCCCAGTTGTGAGGAAGAGTGGTTGGATGTACTGCCCACTCCTGTCCTACTCCTGTTCCACCTTCTGTTGCTCATCAGGGCAACAGAAAAAAACCCCACCCACTCATTCTCACCTACCCATCCCCTCACCATCTCCAAACTGCCCTAACTCCCTAATCCGGAGTTTCAGATAGACCCAGCAGGATGGCAATAAGACAAATAAATGATTCTAAATTTCACAAAGGTATGTGTGTGTGTGTTCTTTATCCAAATAATCTGACACAGTCCATCAGGGATTTCTCTATTTCCTCCCCTTCTCTCCCCAGGTGATGGCTCGGCTTGGAGGGGCTGTGTGACAATGCCAGCCCTTGAGGAAGTTGGGTGCTTCTGGATTAATCAGTTACTCTGGGACATAAGTCACACACACTTGCCTGTCCAATCAGGTGGCCCGGGGCCAGGTTGGTCAATACAAGAATTGAGACATCCTCCCCTTCCCATGCAGCCCCCTTGGGTCTCAAGGTTCTTTGTGCTGTTTCACTTGGTGCCTTGCATGAGTCCGTCTTGACTCCAGGCACCGACCTTTATCCTGGAGGGCAGCAGGCGTCTTGACTCCAGGCACCGACCTTTATCCTGGAGGGCAACATTCTGTTACTGCCTGCCTGGGCATTACAGAATAAGGCTTGTGCTCTCAGCTTTGCTCTGCCTCCCGACCTACACTCTCTTTCAAAACCTCTCTCCACCCTCATCTTTACCTGTTCTGGTCTCCCCCATATCGCCACTCACTGCACTTTTTGTCTTGCTGTTTGTCTCTGAGGTAAAATCTATTGAGTTTGTTTAAGTAAATTATTTAATGGGCTTAGATGCTGGAAACCAATAGGAATATTTTGCTTTCTGTCCTGTCCCATTATCCTCTGAGACTGTGACCTGGGGTACCTAGCCTAGGGGCACAGGGATTGCCTAACACACACACAAGAATCTGGGTTGGACAGCTCCACAGAACTAAAGGGAAAGGGGGAAGAAAAATAGCAGAAAATAAAAGGCGTAGGTTAATATCTTAAAAGTATTATCCTGGAGATGTCCCAACTATCCTGGAGGATGCTCTTCCAGCAGTGTCCAGGGGTCCAAACTCCTTCCTTCTTGTAGCTCCACTGTATTCATCTGGGTTGGTCCTATCACTGCTGAAGGAAAAGAGAAAATACACGGATGTTCCTACTTTTAAGTGAATCACTGTCCCCACCCCTTCACTTTGGAAGGCTCCTTGCACTGCAACAGGCCGGGCACTATTTTGCTATGTCTCCAAGAAAAAGAAATTACATTGAAAAGCATCCAAACAGCCTGTGCTGTCCTCTTTTTGACAACGGAAAAGGGTATTTGGGGCAAGCAGAAAGCAAAGCTTAAGAAAGAGCCCAGTAGTAGATGAAAGAAAATAGGCCAACTATATCTCATATGCAGAAATTTAGTGGCAGCACTAGCAATTTTAATTTAGTTCACACCGTCTCCCGCCTCTCCTGGGAGAGTCTGTGCCACACAGTGGTCAGATCTCTAAGCCCCTTCCAGAGTGCTGCTTTCAAAATACATTTACTGGGGCCTCCCTCTTAGAAGAGTAATTTGAAGAGAATAACCAGGACCTGCATGCAAAATTCTTAAATATTAGGAAATCTATTAATAAAATCAATTCTATTGAAATTCTCAGGAGAAGAATTGCAATTGTGATAGATGTCAATGTGACATTGAAAACGTCTACATTTATCCTTTAAAAAGTACTAGTAGATTTGCTGGGCACAGGGGTGCACACCTTTGATTCCTGCACTGTAGGAAGATGTCTGTGAATTCCAGGCCAGCTGGGGCTACATAGAGGACACCTCCCCACACACACGTATTTGTATGTATGACTCAAAAGTATTTTATTAACGTGTAAAAGACTCTGAACCCAAGAGATAGTGTTAACATTTGTGTCAAAGATATTCTTGCTAAACTTAGGGGTGTGACAGGCTTTCTGCTGTCACTACAACCACTTAACATTGTTTTGGATGCTCTAGCTAGTGTGGAAATGACAAGAAAATCAAGTTTTTCTCTTCTTATTCTTTTTTTTTTTACACAATGGCAGATGCTGTGATCGTGTGCTGTGAAAATTCAAGAGGATGGTTAATTTTGATGACTTGAATTTAATGTGATACTATGCAATTTACAGAAAGAATGAAGCTGATTTGTATGCACGGACATGAGAGAAGGTAGTGGTGACAAACGAAGTGACAAAACAGAGCTGCAGAAGAGCCTGCCTAACAGGATGCAGTGCGTGCCTGTGTGTGGTGGAGGCTGTCACAAGAGCTCTGGAGGCAAGAATGACATGGGTGGGGAAGCTGTTTGGAATTATTTATTTATTTATTTATTTATTTATTTATTTATTTAATGTACATTGGTGTTTTGCTTGCATGAATGAATGTCTTTATGAGGGTATTGGATCCCCTGGAACAGGAGTTCTGGACAGTTGTGAGCTGCCATGTGGGTGCTCAGAACTGAATCCGTGTCCTCTGGAAGAGCAGTCAGTGTTCTTAACCACTGAGCCATCTCTCCAGCCCGTTTGGAATTTCTTTTTTAATTTACTCCCCATGTTGTTTATTTATATTGTCTTGTAGCTTTATTTTTTTCATAAAACACACACACACACACACACACACACACACACACACACACATACAGAGTTTTTGAGACAGACCCCAAGTGCACTTCAAACTCAGTGATCAGCCTGCTTCTGCCTCCTAAGTGTTGGAATTAAAGACGTGCACTCGCCATGCCTGGTGCAACTCTGCATTTCATGTCTGAGGCTCCACCATACTGTTTTCCCTGATGGCTGTATCATTTTACATCCCCACAGCTGGTGACAAGTAAATTTCTCTGCATCTTTGCCAAAATTTGGTATCTCTGCCCCCCCCCACTTTATGTTAGACACTGTGATGGGTATGAGGGGACACATCCATGTAAAATGGGGTTCCTTTTTTTTGTTTGTTTGTTTTTTTTTCGAGACAGGGTTTCTCTGTGGCTTTGGAGGCTGTCCTGGAACTAGCTCTTGTAGACCAGGCTGGTCTCAAACTCACAGAGATCCCCCTGCCTCTGCCTCCCGAGTGCTAGGGTTAAAGGTGTGCGCCACCAATGCCCGGCGGGGTTCCTTTTTTATAATGGTAATAAATGAATCTATTTAATTATCCGTTGTTTAAACGGTATAGATAAAGTCAAAACTATCCAACACCCAGTCTTGTGTGTCAGAGGTAACCATGTGCTCACCAAGCACTTTTGTCCAGTGCTGTGGTGACGTGTAAAAGACCAACACTTAGTCTTTTTTGTACAAGAGTGTGTACCACTGAGCTGAAATCGGGAATTTAGTTAAAGAGAGGGAGGAATGAAAAGCGAAGGGGTCTGTAACAGATTGGAGAAACCCACAGGAACAATTGGCCTGAACAAGGGAGAGCACATCGTCCCCAGATGCTGTCGGGGAGGCCAGTACAAGACTGATCCAGACCCCTGAACATGGATGTCAATAAGGAGGCCTCTGCACTCCAGGGAGCCTCTGGTGGTGGGTTA